ATAAATAATGCATATATTACGGATTGCAACAATAAATATAAATATACTTCGAGCACTGAATTTATACGTGTTCACTCGTTCGCCATTATAATCGACCAGTAACATTGACACTCACGGTGGCGAGATTACGATTTACTAATTACAATATATAGGCGATAGTAGAATCCACGGTCGGTAACCAGGCTGTCTTTGATAGCTCTTATGAACAGTAATTTTTCTCGAATATTTCTCTCCGCGTAAGGACAGATACAGAAATAGTATCAATAATTTTCTATCACAGTCTCTTCAATGAAATGCTTGTATTTCCATATTTTAAGAAGCATGGTCCAATTATGGCCCTCCGGTGGACGATTGCCTGTTACAATCGCGATCACTTCTCCATTAGAAAGAATGGGCGTACCACTGTTTTGCTATAATAAGTTAATTAATAATTAGTAGGCTAAAAGCGAAGATTAATCAATAGAGCCAATTATTCTCACCATGCCTGTAACGACGTCGACCGACCAATCCTTATCAACGGGCTCCAAAACGTATACGTGAGAATATAAAGGATGCACAAAAAAGGTGATATTCTGCGATTCCAAACGCAATACTGACCGGCCATTCACAAAGTGGGATTTCCATCCGACTATTTGATAAGGACCAGAACGATGAAAAAGCTCATTTTGTTCCTGCTGTTCATGGAAATTGAACGTCGCTGGATAAACATAATAAGCGAAGATGCAAAACTCTCCAAGCTATTTTTGGCAGGAATGACGAAGAAAATGATTATCAGTATTGGAGATTATGCCAAAAAATGAAAATTATTCAAGGTAAATGCATACCTTTATGACAGCAATATCATCATGGTAGTATGTAATGTCTATGTTGACAATTTTTCGTGTTCCGAATGCTGGATGAATGATATATGATGTAACAGGAAACCACGCTTTTTCATTATTCACAAAATCAACAACACCGCCAAGTACAGAAAGTTTAGAGGGCTCAGTTCCATACACACAGTGAGCTGCTGTGATAACGTGAGTTGAATCGTAGATGGTCCCACTGCAGATGTGGTTATACAGATACCATATGGATACAACGTACGGAAATTCACCCAACTTTGCCGGTATACTTTTAACATCTAAGCAGTAATCAATTGATTAGATAATTATTCGATTACTTATTATTATTAAATACACAAGTTTTATACTTACGGTGAATGGT